TAGCTAACTGTTGACTATACTTAAGAGAGTACTTTAATAGTAACTGATAAGTTCTTGATGTCTTGTTCAGTTAGCTAACTGTTGACTGTATAGTTAAGGGAAGAGTACTTTAATAGTAACTGATAAGTTCTTGATGTCTTGTTCTGTTAGCTAACTGTTGACTGTATAGTTAAGGGAAGAGTACTTTAATAGTAACTGATAAGTTCTTGATGTCTTGTTCTGTTAGCTAACTGTTGACTGTATAGTTAAGAGAGTACTTTAATAGTTGGTGATAAGTTCTTGATGTCTTGTTCAGGTAGCTAACTGTTGACTGTATAGTTAAGAGAGTACCTTAATAGTAGGTGATAAGTTCTTGATGTCTTGTTCTGTTAGCTAACTGTTGACTGTATAGTTAAGAGAGTACTTTAATAGTAGGTGATAAGTTCTTGATGTCTTGTTCAGGTAGCTAACTGTTGACTGTATAGTTAAGAGAGTACTTTAATAGTAGCTGATAAGTTCTTGATGTCTTGTTCAGTTAGCTAACTGTTGATTGTATAGTTTAGAAAGTACTTTAATAGTAGGTGATAAGTTCTTGATGTCTTGTTCAGTTAGCTAACTGTTGACTGTATAGTTAAGGGAGGAGTACTTTAATAGTAACTGATAACTTCTTGAAGTCTTGTTCAGTTAGCTAACTGTTGACTGTATAGTTAAGAAAGTACTTTAATAGTAGGTGATAAGTTCTTGATGTCTTGTTCAGTAGCTAACTGTTGACTGTATAGTTAAGAGTACTTTAATAGTAGCTAATAAATTGTTCCTTTATTTTTTCCACAGGTCCACGGCTGTATTTGTTTTTGTATACGCCATGTTCTACTACTTTCGTAGATCCAACATGGACGGAACGCTACAGGCTGTCCAGTTTTTCGGCAACACACTTCTAATCTGTTACGTGTTCTTTCTAGCCCTGGGAACTGTGTCCTTCTTTGCTTCATTACAGTTTGTGCATTATATCTACAAGAATATCAAGATGGATTAGTAACGGATTTTATCACATCAACACTTACCCAACAAATAAATTGGATTGCCAGCACATATTGATCGTTTCTTAAATTATTGCATCTTTCCGTGTAATGTTTTGCTATTTCCCACCCACACACACACACTCCTTCTCACCTGTGTTTTTTGCTTGCTTTTATTTTTATTTAAAAGGTTAGGTTGTTGTGGCAGGTCAATTAAGTCCCAGCAGAAGAACATGGTGTAATGTGCAATCTGTTTCAAGCACCTGGTCCGACAACTGTGATAGCGTTCTTTATATTGATCCTCAGTCCTTACTTAATCAGTAACTCTGCAAAACGTAATCTTTGAATGATTTTAACAGTGTAATTATATCATACACAAACTCACACACATGTGCCCGAGAGCGTTTGTATATGGTGTACAGTATCTCCATTTCGATTCTACTAGTAAACAGATATCTGTAAGTTTTATGTGTATAAACTGCTAATCATTAAGAAAAATGCTGTCGTAATATTTTCCAAATCCTAAATGTAAAAGTCCATTCCAAATTTCTGATAAGGGTGTTTTCCTGTATATAGGAAAACCTGAGTTTTTGTGTATGTGTATTACGTGTATACACAAATCATATTCCAAGTATCTGATAAGGCTGTAAACTTACACCTGTGTGTGTATGTGTATGATGTACATACATCTACAAGTACCAAAATGTAGATTACTAACATAAAAGGTTAATACATTGTACTTTTTAAGTTGAATGTTTTGTTTGTACAGAGTTTGAACAGTATTGAGTGTATTTTGTGAACAATGATTGGAACTGTGTCAAGTGTGTTTTTTGGACAGGAATTGGAACAGTGTCAAATGTGTTTAGTAAACAGGGTTTGGAATAGTGTCAAATGTGTTTAGTAAACAGGGTTTGGAACAGTGTCGAGTGTGTTCTATGAACAGGGTTTGGAACAGTATCGAGTGTGTTTTGTGAACAGGGTTTGGAACAGTGTCGAGTGTGTTTTGTGAACAGGGTTTGGAACAGTGTCGAGTGGGTTTTGTGAAGAGGGATTGCAACAGTATCGAGTGTGTTTAGTGAATAAGGTTTGGAACATTGTCAATTGTGTTTTGTGAACAGGGATTGCAACATTGTCGAGTGTGTTTTGTGAACAGGGATTGCAACAGTATCGAATGTGTTTAGTGAACAAGGTTTGGAACATTGTCGAGTGTGTTTTGTGAACAGGGATTGCAACAGTGTCGAGTGTGTTTAGTGAACAGTGGTTGGAACATCGTTGAACATGTAAGAAAAAGGTAAAAAGACTAAAACTGAATAATAAGAGTATAATATAAGCATTTATTGACACCATGTTGCTTTAGAAGTGTAAAATAAACTTTGTTAATGATGTATTACATGGACAAGGCTGTGTCATTTCTTCTATTTTAAAACAAACTTTGTTACTGATGTATTACATGGACAAGGCTGTGTCATTTCTTCTATTTTAGTCTTGTCCAGGTAATACATCAGTAACAAAGTTTGTTTTGTGTCATTTCTTCTATTTTGAAACAAACTTTGTTACTGATGTATTACCTGGACAAGACTGTGTCATTTCTTCTATTTTAAAACAAACTTTGTTACTGATGTATTACCTGGACAAGGCTGTGTCATTTCTTCTATTTTGAAACAAACTTTGTTAATGATGTATTACCTGGACAAACAGTGCCATCTCTTCTATTTTGTGTTTCAGTGAAACCTAAAAAGTGTTTTTAAAAATCACGTTGTGAGTTTAAAAATACAATTCACAAACTCGTTACAAACACTCAGTAAAATCTTGTCAGAGCGAGAACAATTCATATAAATGTACTAAATCAGAGACGTTTGTGGGTTAATATATGTTTTTGGATTATCAGATATCTCCTTTATGTGACTGGGTAACTGTCAGTTTCGCATGTTTCATGTGAAACATGAGGGTGTATTTAGTTGATTTGTGTCACGACACGCGTTTTTCGTCATCTGTTTACACCAACGAAGTGCCACCAGATGGGGTTCTAACAGTATTCACTTAGTTCAATGTTATAACTTTATTGTTGAAGTTAGGTGTGATATTATCGAGTTTCGAGTTAAGTTAAATCACTTTTTCTCACTCTCTCTATCTAGGACTTTAATTTTTGCGAATAAATTGTTTTTTAATGTGATAAGTGTCTCCATCTAGCTTTGATGACAAATAATAAAAAAATAACTATTCATATGATATTGTCGCCGTCAGTTTCTAATTGAAACTAAACAATATTTGTAAGTCCACTTCCTGAACATATATAGCATTCAGAAAGTTAACATTTTACAAGATTAATCTATCAAGTAAAAAAAATTAATATATTTTGTATCAACTTGCAAAGTCATAAAAGAATAAAACGTCTGCAATGTTAATTTAATTAGAATGCAAATACATGTAACATTTAAATTATTCAAGTGTTTTGAAGTAATTAGTATATTAGTCGTCTGATGGTTTTTGTAATCTAGCTAATTGAGATCAGCCTTTGAATGCACTGTAAAGTGGTGTTAAAATAAAATGTTAAAAAAATATGTAAATATGTCATTTATTGACATGAGTTCATACACTGAAAGAAACCACTCGGTGGCCTATCTGTAATAATTTTTATTATCTATCAAAGAAGCAGAAAGGGACATTAGGGTAGATGTAGGAAACAACGTAAGGAGTCGTGTTATTTGTTCAGCAGCTTTAACGTAGATTGATTTGTGAAACTAGAAATTCATAATCCTCACCTGAAGTAAAAAGACAAGATGTTGGTTACGGACTAGTGACATTGTTTATCCAAATTATTAGTACGGTCTGTCCATGGGGATCAGGCATCGACACACAGTAGAAATTATTTCATGTTGTGAATTACGATCTCTCGTTCTGTTTTATCGTTAAGTTTCCTTATAAGAAATTATTCTCTGAGTCATGAGTACAAGCAGGCCTTTTAGTGTGTAATTTCTAATAATTCTGTATCGGACACAAGTTAGTCGGCTCCAGTACCACCTGGCAGTTACGAGTTAAATTACGTTTACCTTCGTGATTCATCGTTCCGCTTCAGACTTCTTAGTGTTATTTAAACTGAATATATTTCATTGTGATCATAAAATTAATTCAGTAATATGATCAAATGTTGGTTCTTACTTTAACAAACAAAAAAGTGTAATTTAACTAGACCTCACTCGCTAACTATGATGAGTTACGTAAAGTTTCTAAAGTATAATATCTTAAGTCTTCATAACTAATATCACACTTCAGCTAGAACTGACCGTTGTTATATCCTGGCTAAACCAGTTATGATGAAGTAAGAACTGGCCGCTGTTATATCTTGGCTAAACCAGTTATCATGATGAAGTGAGAACTGGCCGCTGTTATATCATGACAAAACCAGATATCATGATGAAATGAGAACTGGCCGCTGTTATAACTTGGTTAAACCAGTTATCATAATGAAGTAAGAACTGGCCGCTGTTACATCATTACTAAACCAGTTATCATGATGAAGTGAGAACTGGCTGTTGTTACATCATTACTAAACCAGTTATCATGATGAAGTAAAAACTGTCCGCTGTTACATTATGACTAAACCAGTTATCATGATGAAGTAAGAACTGGCTGTTGTTACATCATGACTAAACCAGATATCATGATGAAATGAGAACTGGCCGCTGTTACATTATGACTAAACCAGTTATCATGATGAAGTAAGAACTGGCCGCTGTTACATCATTACTAAACCAGTTATCATGATGAAGTAAGAACTGGCTGTTGTTACATCATGAACTAAACCAGTTATCATGATGAAGTAAGAACTGGCTGTTGTTACATCATGACTAAACCAGATATCATGATGAAATGAGAACTGGCCGCTGTTATATCCTGGCTAAACCAGTTAATGTAATGAAGTGAGGATTGGCCCATGTTACACTTCAGCTAAACCAATTAATGTAATGAAGTGGGAACTGGCCGTTGTTATATCCTGGCTAATCCAGATATCATGATGAAATGGGAAATGGCCGCTGTTACATCCTGGGTAAACCAGTTAATGTAATGAAGTGGGAACTGGCCGTTGTTATATCCTGGCTAAACCAGATATCATGATGAAGCGGGAACTGGCCGCTGTCACATTCTTGGTAAACTAGTTAATGTAATGAAGTGGGAACTGGCTGTTGTTATATCCTGGCTAAACCAGATATCATGATGAAGTGGGAACTGGCCGCTGTTACATCCTGGGTAAACTAGTTAATGTAATGAAGTGGGAACTGGCTTTTGTTATATCCTGGCTAAACCAGATATCATGATGAAGTGGGAACT